ATGGCTTCGACAATCTCAAGATTGCTGGCCAATAGCTAAAGGTACACACGATCAACCCTCTGAGGCGTTGGAAGAAGCACGTCGAATCTCCGTAGCAACACCATCGTCTCCGAATGAACCGTCTTTCGTCGACCTGTTCGTCGAAAAATTTTCAGACTACCAACGTCTTTTGCGTGTGGTAGCATATTGCCTTCGTTTTCTCCAACGCTGTCGAAAACTATCCGACGTTCAAGTGAAACCTACCCTACTGAAGAAAGAGGAGTTGTTAGAAGCGGAAATTCAACTCATCAGATTGGTTCAACAACAAGCCTTCAGCGAAGAGTGGAAGCAGCTTCAACAATCGCAGCCAGTATCATCGAAATCTCGCCTCAAGTGGTTCCATCCGTTCATCTCGTCCGAACAGCTGATTCGCATCGGTGGTAGATTGGGAAATGCATCGCAATCGTATGACTGCAAACATCAAATCCTTCTGCCAACATCGCATACACTATCGTCGCTGTTGGTCCGCAGCTATCACGAACGACATCTCCACGCAGCTCCACAATTGCTCCTCAATCTTCTTCGACAGCGGTACTGGATCATAGGGGCCAGAAACTTGGCCAAGCGTGTGGTCCACAAGTGCGTCACTTGCTTCCGAGCACGTCCTCGAATGTTGGAGCAGTTTATGGCCGAGCTTCCTGCATCGAGAACTACTGCGAGTCGACCCTTTAATGTCACGGGAGTCGATTATTGGGGACCGATCCAGCTTAAGCCTATACATCGCCGTGCTGCACCCGGGAAAGCCTACGTTGCTGTTTTTGTTTGCTTTTCCACGAAAGCGGTACATTTGGAGCTGGTAGCAGACCTCAGCACACCAAAATTCATCCAAGCGCTTCGTCGGTTCGTGTCTCGCCGTGGACTTTGTTCGGATCTGCATAGCGATAACGGTCGAAACTTCGTCGGAGCGAATAATGAACTCCGAGATCTCGTCAGTAGCAAAGAGCATCGCAACGCTATCACTCAAGAGTGCAATCAGCAAGGGATTCGCTGGCATTTCAATCCTCCGAGGGCATCTCACTTCGGCGGCTTATGGGAAGCCGCAATACATTCAGCACAAAAGCACTTCATTCGTGTCCTAGGGAAACATACTCTTGCGTTCGATGACATGGAAACGTTGCTATGTCAGATCGAATGCTGCCTGAACTCGCGACCAATTATTGCACTGAGCGATGATCCAACTGACTACGAACCACTCACGCCAGGGCATTTTCTGACGGGATCTGCCCTCAAAAGTGTTCCAGACGGCAACTACACTGATATAGTAACGAATCGACTTCGCCAGTGGCATCTGGTTCAAAAACTATTCCAGGAATTGTGGAAAAGGTGGCACCTGGAGTACCTTTCCACATTGCAACCACGTAGCAAATGGTGCAATCCACCTATTCAGCTGCAGCAAGATCAGCTCGTCATTCTTCGCGATGAGAACACTACTCCGATGCACTGGCCGATGGCAAGAATTCATCAGACTCATCCCGGGCCCGATGGTGTCATCCGGGTAGTCACCGTCCAAACATCAACCGGTCGTTACATCCGTCCGGTATCGAAAATTTGCCTCTTGCCAGTGAAATCATCGTCCGACCAAAACATCAACAACGTAGCCATCCAGTAACTTGCCTTCCAAAATTCACCTTCAATGGCCGTATCCCGATGTTCACGACTGTCTTCTGCAGCAGGATCACCTAAAACGATAAAATACAAGGCCTTTCATTAGAAAGGACAAGGTAAGCACCTGTCCAATCTAATTAATTTAACCAAACCCCGCTACCGGGTCTTATGTTTTGCAGACCATCATCGCTTTGTACTTTCGTCCGGCGAAATCAAAACAATCGTTCATCCGAGTTTCATCGATCATGCAGTGACAGCTTGAATGACAGAGACAACGCAGTGAGAAAGAGATCGGTAGCAGCTGATCGACGTTGCAGTGTCAGAAACGAAGTTCCTGAAGGGGCCAGTATGTTCGTGACAACGAAAGTGCATTGACGCGCCACCTGTTGCTCATCGACCGCATTGTAAAACCCCCCGTAGCTCGACGGCGATAAACGCCCAAAAGGGAAATTTAGTTGGTAGCATGGCGTTGTATCATCTTCCGCCGCGCCCTGTTATAAAAGCCGAAGAGTGACAGGAGCCATCCTCTTTTTTGGCAACGACGTCATCCACATCAATTATCAGTACGAAGGAGAATAAAAACAAACCAGTGAAAGTGAAAGTGAAAGTGAGTTAATATCGTAGCAAAATATTGTAATGTAGTGAAATAAAAGTAGTTAAATAAGTTAAAATAAAGTTCATTTTGCGGAAAGTAAATCGCGAGTGCTTGAGAGTCAAGTTGCCTCATTTGCCATCCTGCCTTTCTGCCGAAAGAGAAGAAATAGTGACAAAACTATTTACCTGCCCGTGCGTCGTCTGGAATCGTCCGCTGGTGGTGCAAAAAATTCTGCTGCTGCTCGCTGTGCTCTCGACAGATATATTTCAATGGAAATTAGAATGGACTATTCTGAGGTCTTCAGAACTACTTGAAAGTTCCCAAATTTGCCCTAAAGTTAATGAAACTGCTTTGCAGTTCTTTTTAGTTTGAGAAACTAGCCTGCTGCTCACAATAGTTCTCATTCTATTTTTAAACTTCCCTGAACTTGATAGGACTTCCTAAAGTTTCCTCGATTTTTTAACGATCATAGATCTCTTCTAAAGGTTTAACAAGTCGCTGAAGTTCTCTGAACATCTTTAAAATTTATGTGATTTCTCTAATGTTAACGGAACTGTTCTGAGGTTCTCTGGTATTTTCTAAAATTCTCATAACTTCTCTAAGGTTTTTGCAGTTTTCATGAAGCTTGTTGTACTGCGCTGAATTTAATTGAACCATCCTAAAAATGTTTAAGCTTAACGGAACTTCTAAACTCATGAGAAAAACCTATTTTTTTAACGTTTCTGAAGTTATCTGGAAATCTGGGAACTGCCTTAAATTTTCACTAATTTTCTGAAACTAATGGAACTGACCCCCTGAAATTCTTCCAATTTTCGAAGCTTACTAAACTTCTTTCAAATGCACCCGCGTTCGCGGGTTCGCGTTTCTTCTCTTAAACTTCATAGTTCGCGGATCTCCTCTTAAACTTCATAGTTTTTTATGAAGTTCTCGAAATGTTTCTGAAGATCACTGTCCTTCTGTGAAGATTTCAAAGTTTTAAAGCGACATAATTAATATAGTTCTATGATTTTCTCTGAAGTTCATGAAACTTCCCGTAAATTATTGGCACTAATTTAAAACTTTTTCAATAGTCTAGACTTTCCTGGTGGTATTAGAACTGCTTAAACGATTATTGAATTTCCTCAAAGTTCTCTAGACTGCCATGAATTTATCAGTATTGTTTAAGAACCCACAACTTTACTGAAATTAAATGATTTGCCTTGAAGTTTCGATTCAGTGTCTTGTACTAATAGTCGAGTATTAGTACAAGACACTGAAGAAGTCTGCACATTGTAGACGAAATACGCGTATCTGTCAAGGATAAGCAAATAAGGTAGTGGAATTAAATGGAAATTACTAATCCTTCTCTCTCTCATTATATCGATTTTAAATTGGCTCACTACTTCAATAGCCTATTGGTCCCAAGCAAATCGATTAACGTACCCCATTCTAGTATAAATTCCTGAACTACACTATGTTTGTTTTGATTCGCTATGAAAGTTTGACAGATAAAATGAGGTGTTCGTGGATTTTCCTATGTTTCGAGGGATGCATCGATTAGCTTGGGACCGAAGAGAGTACCAGAGCTGAGCCAAAAAGTTGAGCACGTTTCTTCGGGACCTTCTCGCAAATTTTGTGAGAGTGGAATTACACCCGGAGATTTTTTTGGTCTTCTTTTTGTTCGTTGTTTACACGTGAAATATCAATCGGATGCATTTCAAATGAATCGGGCGTGACTAGTTACTACAGTATCAGTACGTTTTGCATATAAAAACAATACAATTCATAGTTTTGGTGCAAGGCGTAACAACCAGTTGTATCATAGAGTTGAAAATTGGAGATACGCCATGTAAAAGTTAACGTGTTTGATGATTTGAAATGATATATTCTTCTACTTTTTAGTGTTTATCGAGTAGTTTGTGAACTTTTCTCTCTACATGTGGTAAAATATGGTTTGTTTACATTTTGCCCCCTTCAAATGTTAGCATGCACGTGTGTTAATGGGATTTTTTTTGTTATGTCTTTTCTCGATTCAGATCAAGCTATGTCCTTCCTTATCCATGTATATTGCAACAAAGCAGGCAAGCAATATAGTATATAATTATCCTTCTACCACTCCGATCGAGCTATGTTACAGAGCGAGTTTGTCATTGTAGTCGCAGCAACCGGTTTGTCTGTATCGTTGGTTGCTTTATGTGTTTGGATTCGCTGCTCTCAACCCATCCCCCGACTGCACGTACACCAAAAACTAACAGTACGTAGCACTAAGTTAGTGCCTCTAACTATATTGCCCTTGACCTTCAGGTGAACAAATAATGCAAAAACAAAACCGTACGTATGTTCCTCATTTGCATTAAAGCAGTGTAACTGACATTTTTGGGAAATTAATTCTCTTTGGATTTAACATGAGTATCAATCAAAAGATGATACTTATTCGTAACCAGAAATCTGGATTCTGGTAGATCTAATGACCCATGCAAAAGCAATTGCCAATATGGAGGCTAAACAACAACAAGGCCAAAATAAGCCTTCTCGACCTCACTGTTTCGCGATCTTTCCCTGCTTTCTAATCAAATATACGCATTGTAGAACCACTACCCCACTCATGAATATTTCATGACCCGAAACTTGTACGTACGTCACCGGCCGGACGAGTCGATGCCCAGAATTAGTCACATTATTTTTTCGGTCGATCACGCAGTTATGTCCGTTCCTTAAAACCAGTGCGTATCAGGTGCGTGCTTGCTAGTTCAGTTCGAGTCAATAGCAAAGTGGTGACACAATGGATTCGATTCCGCGGAAAAGCATTCCGGAGACATTTGCCGGAGCCGACGTGTTCATAACCGGTGGTTCCGGGTTTATGGGAAAGGTGCTGATCGAGAAGCTGCTGCGTTCGTGTCCCCAGGTTGGAAACGTGTTCGTACTGTTGCGGCCGCGCAAGGGAAAATTGGCCAAGGAACGGGTGAACGATTTGGTTCAAGCACCGGTAGGTTTTTTGGACGGTTATTGAAGGGCGGATATTTGAAAAGCGTGTTCAAATTTTCAGTTATTCAACAAACTTCACGAAGAATGGCCGGAAGCATTGCAGAAAATTGTTCCGATTGCTGGTGATTGCTCGCTGTTGAAGTTGGGACTGGATGAGGACAGTGTAAAGCGAATGGAGAATGTCCAATTTGTGTTTCATGCCGCGGCCAGTGTTCGGTTCGATGATCCTTTGGATAAAGCGTTGCTGTTGAATACCCGAGGGACTCACGAAGTTTTGCGGTGGGCAAAAACACTGAAGAGCTTGAAGGTGATCGTGTACATTTCGACCACCTATTCTAATCCGGAGCTACCGCATGTCGAGGAACGGATCTACCCGGCAAAGATGGATTGGAGGAAGGCAATCGATATGGTGGAAAAGGTGAAGCCCGAGGTGTTGAATGCATTGGCAGAGAAGTAAGTCAGGAAAGGTAGGGTGTTTCTGATTGCGGGCATTAATTTTGATTCGCTTACAGACTGACAGGTTTCGCCCCAAACACCTACACCTTCACCAAAGGCCTGGCGGAACAGATTTGCTACGACTACCGCCACGAGCTTCCGCTGGTGATATTCCGGCCGTCAATTGTGATCAATACTGAATTGGAACCCATGCCCGGTTGGATCGAGAACTATAACGGTCCTGCCGGTTTATTGTCAGCTCATGCTGCGGGAATACTGCGGACGTTGTTCGTCAGCTTCGACTGTCACATGAACTGCATCCCGGCGGATGTCAGCATTAAGGCCATTATAATTGCTGCCTGGAAGAAAACCTACAGCCCTACCGGTGACCTTGTAATCTACAACAGTGCTGCCGAGCCGCACAAAGCGATGGGCTACGGGTTTCTTTATGAGGAGTCTCATTACTTCTCGCATCGGATTCCCATGCTGAAGATGATGTGGGCTCCCACAGTACAAGCCACCACTAACAAGTATTTGTTCTATATGTTGTTCTTCCTGTACCAGGTTGTGCCGGCATTTTTCGTCGATGCAGTACTCAAACTGTGCCAAATGAAACCATTGTAAGTATTGGTAAACGCAGCTCAATCGAGGATCGTAATGCATAGACGGCTGGTCACTTCATTCTCATCTCTCCAACCCCCAAAGTCTGATACTGAAAAATGCTTAAACCACAGACAAACAGATATAACATATTTAATATTTCTCACTGTAAAACATCGTCGCTCAAACACTTCCCCCATCTGTTGAGTACACTGTGATGGGCAGTGTGCTCAATAGATGGCGATAGCGTATAAACATCAAACGCAAGAGAATTTACTATGTGCGCCACAGGTGGCGGTACTACCAACTAAGAAGCATTTAAATTGACCGGTAAATGCGTGTTCGATGAACGAATTACGAGAGTTATGCCTGTTTGTCGGTGCTAAACTATAATACTCAGTCATTTCAGAACAGATTGTTTATCTATCCATCTAAAAAAACGCTAACTCTTCAAGTTTTGATGAGCTTTAAAGGATTTTGGAAAAATCCTTGTATACTGAAAATATTTTGTTTTGAAATAGGGTAGTTTTTTTACGTTGGAGGTTTGAGAGTTAATATGCTTTATAGCAGCTCCACGCTAAATAGTGAAAAATAAGCACATTTTAGATTTAACTTCTCAGAATTCCACGAAACTTCGCATAATTGTTCGTAAAAGACAGTTAGGCCTATTTTGCGCGACCTGTGAGGTGAGGTAGCAGCGAGTCTAAAGAAGTGACAATTGACCAATAGAGATTATCACGTCCGATTGTATTGGTGCAATATGTGAGAACGTGTTAGTAAAAATCCGAGGAAAATACATAAAAAATCGCTGTCAAACTCATTTTGACAGATCTAATTTCATACATTTTTTTGGGTTCATCACAGGAAAATAATAAATAATTTTACACGGTGGTGCACTCGCTAGTGTGCGTGCATTAAACGTCACTAATCTCTATGCACGGAATGAACTCACGAAAAAGTTTGACGTTTTAGCGGTGCTGTGTTTACTAAAAAATGAACACACGATGTATATAAAAGGGCCTATCAACTTCTATAAACAACTTGTTAAGCCCTTTTCACGCGTATCGAAGTACGCCCACGCAAACCAACAACACCATCGGGTAGGGTAAATTCTCCCCATCCCGATAGTGCTTTTGGTTTGCGTTGACGTTATTCGGTTCGCGTGAAAAGGGCCTAACAAGTTGTTTATCAAAATTTACAAGCCCTTTTATAAAGTTACGTGAGCATTACGGCATGTGTTCATTTTTAGTAAACACGGTACCGCTTAAACGTCAATTTTTTCGTGAGTTCATTCCGTGTATGGACGTGTGCACCGATGAATTTGAGTTCACTCACTCGAGAAAAAGTGACACAAGCTGCGGGCAATGCTTACTAATCATGAACACTAAATGTTCATTATTCATTATTCATGAACATTTAGTGTTCATGATTAGTAAACATTGCCCGCAGCTCGTGTCACTTTTTCTCGAGTGAGTGAACTCAAATCCATCGATGCACTCGTCAATTGGCCAATTTTCCCCTCGGGTGAGGTAACTCTCCATAGACGAGTACACGGATGGTTTTGAGTTCACTCACTCAAGAAAAAAGTGGCACAAGCTGCGGGCAATGCTTACTAATCATGAACACCAATGACAGTAAGCTCCAACACGGATTATCTTTCAATACTGTTCCTGATTGGAGGATCTGCCAAATGTTTGTTAAGGATAGTATTGATTAACATCGACGTCGACAGCAAAACAGCCTGTCGTGATCGGCTGAATAATGAACATTTATGGTGGTAAGCTCCAACCGGTATTATCCTCGGTTTAAATCCCGAAAAAGATTATTCAGCTGCTTTGACGTTGACATCAGAGTTAATCAACACGACTCTAAGCAAACATTGGGCAGAACATCCAAACAGGGTCAGAATTAAAAGTTAATCCGAGGCGGAGCTTGCCGCCATTAGGGTTCATGATTAGTAATCATTGCCTGCAGCTTATGTCACTTTTTCTTGAGTGAGTGAACTCAAATCCAACCGTGCACTCGTCTGTTTAATTTGCATGGAGACTCACCTTACCCGAGGTGACAAATGTCACTTCAACATCACTTCACTGTCACCTCACCTCACACGCCGCTCAGAATAGGATGCTGCACGCTGACGTCACGAATGAACGCGATGAACCCGCATTCATCAGTTTGACATCCAGTGGTGGTTTGTTTACCTTTGCTTGTTAGTCGATTCAATTGGATTTGAGGTTTAAAAAAAAAAGAATTAAATATATGATATCCGACTATGTTCGTTTAAAAAATATTCCTCTACAAAAAATCTAAAAAAAAATTTAATAAGTTTTTTAATTTTTTTTTTCCAACTCCATGTAAACAAACCACTGCCAGATGTCAAAATAAGTGAGGTTAACCCGACGGTGCACCTCCCTATAGGCCTAAATGAATCAAGTTGGTGCTGGAATTTGACTCACGCCTAATTTTTTTTTTTTAAATGGCGTATTTGAGATTTTCCAATAAATCATAGCACGAAAATGGCTCATCTAATCTAAATGATTTCTGAGACAAAGTTGTATGGTTGTATCCTGTTTGCATTTCAGATAAAAAATCTCAAATTTCTATAAAAAAAATATTGTTGTTAACTTAAATAACAAAAGAAGTAAATTTTCAAGATTTTCAAACTTAGGTTTATGTGAAAGCTTATCAAACATGTCCATTGTGTTTATTTAAGAAAAATTAGCATTTTTGATAAGCTTTAGAATAAACATAAGTTTTAAAATATTAAAACTGTTTTTTTTTGTAAATTTTAACATTTTTTTAAATTTTTGTCGAAAGTTGTATTTTTTACAGTGTGTGTATGTGTGTGTGTTTTTTTAAAGACGATCCAGACGATAGCCTTTCGTGCAATGATTTATTGAAAATATCGAAAAGGCCATTTTGAAAAATTAGGCGTGAGTCAAAATGACCGAATTTCGGGACAAACTTGGCTCATTGCACCTAGCAACAATTATGCGAAGTTTCATGGAATTCGAAGAGGGAAAAAATAAAATCGCTTCGTCAGTTGGCGTGGAACTGCTCTTTATAGAAACAGACTTGAACCTTAACCCTTGCCACCTTTTCAGCCTGATGAAGCTGCAGCGTTCGATCTTCCACGCGCAAAACTCGCTAATGTACTTCACCTCACACGATTGGGTTTTCGACACCGATAACTTTCGAAACCTGGCCAAAGATCTCTGCGAGCTGGACAAAATCCACTTCAACATCGCCTACATAACGCAGGGTCTGCTGGAGTACTGCAGCCTTTGCATGCTCGGTGGACGTCGGTATCTGTTCAAGGAGTCGGACGACTCCATAAGGGTCGCCTTCAAACGTTTGAAACGATTCGAAATGGCCGATAGGTTGCTTAAGCTGGCTCTGTTTGTGGGACTTGCCTACGTGCTGAGAAGCTATCTACAGGTGAACTGGTTGAGGCACGAACAATTGATTTCCAATTGAAGGCTGCAGCCGGTCCCGGCTTGTTTATACCTGTACAAAAATAGTAGGGAAGATAATGTTTCTTTTATTATATAGTAATGTCTCAAAATTTTTGGCCAAATAAATCTAATCAATTCGTTCAATTTCGCTCATTTTATGCTGCTTTTCTTTTGTGTAACAATTCCAAAGCTCCTACAGGTACACCCAACACTACCTCGGCACAATGTGCTGCATCATGCTGCTGTGTTCTATTATGAAGCAATGTAAAACGACATGGCTAACAGAAAAGTCACGTCGCCGAGCTTCAACCGATATAATAGTGGAGCGTAATTTGGCGACACAATGTCGAACCAAATTGAGCCGCGGGGTAAGTTTGCTGTTTCGTTCCGTTTACCGTACGCATTGTACCTATGTAGACCTAAAGTCTAGTAGGCGAGCGAGCAACATAGTCTTCAGGATTGTCACCATTACTATATCTGCACAGCTGGGTAGTACAGGAATCATTGCAACTGTGAATTAATGGAATATTCAGTCAACTAATTCCATTAAAAAAAACCTTGATTAATCCACCTATCAGTGAAAAGTGCTTTATCTCGTATAGTATTAAATAGCTAAAAAAATGTTTTTCGGAATTATGGAATCATTAGATGATTTAACGATAGACAGCAAAAAAATAATTTTAATATTACATCAAAGTGGATGCCAGTGCTGAGATTTGTCATTGTCACTGACAGACTTTCGCGCGATATTGACTAAATTGTTCGTCACATAGTCACTGACAGACTTGATCCTCAAAAAAACCTTCGTCAAAATCTCATTCATTTTTTCGTCAATGACAAAGATTCACCAGGTAACAAAAAGTGTAATTTAGTACATTCTGTGTCACATTATTGTTATCCAAGTAGGTCAGGACGTAGATACTTATTCACTAAAATGGATCCAAGTAATTGTTTTGCTCAAGTCATTTAGTTTCGTTAAAAATTTAGCTAATAAATATATCTGCACATGTTCGTCACTGACAGCATTGTCATTCAAAATTGACATGGTTTGCCTTGACTATGACTGCTAGCTCCAATGAGTGACCAAAGCAGAATTGTCAATATCACCGTGTACTGTCGAAATTTTGCAGCACTGGTGGATGCACTTCAATCGTGTCGAAAATATGGTGTATGGTGCATTACTTGCCAAAAAAGGACAAAAATCAGTAATACAGTGCTTGAACTGACAGTCTGTCGATTACTTGGAAAAACCTGGAAAATCAGGGAATATCAGAGTTGGTTGGAAATGCTAACATGAAGCTTTAGTGTGATGATTTATTAGCTAGAGAATGATCTTTAGAAGAGAGTAGGTGGATAGTTCCGTTAGAGTACGGCAGTATGAAAATTGAATAGAAGTTGAAAATGTGCGAAGGGCCATTAATGCGACAGTTTTTTTAAGATAGACGCACATCTTTTGCCTAACCCGTACGATGTACGCGGAGACTTGAAGTATGTCTCCAAGTCTACAGGCAAAAAATGTGCGTCCTTCTTTTGCTCATAAACTGACTGCGGCTGTGGAATAGTTCTAGCGACGTTTTGATCACTACCTAAAGCCCCACGTTCATCACTACCTAAATCCCCACGTTTATGAGCAAAGAAAGGACGCACATTTTTTGCCTGTAGACTTGGAGACATACTTCAAGTCTTCGCGTACATCGTACGGGTTAGGCAAAAGATGTGCGTCTAACTTTAAAAACTGTCGCATTAATGGCCCTTCGCACATTTTCAACTTCTATTCAATTTTCATACTGCCGTACTCTAACGGAACTATCCACCTACTCTCTTCTAAAGATCATTCTCTAGCTAATAAATCATCACACTAAAGCTTCATGTTAGCATTTCCAACCAACTCTGAAAATCGCTAACTTCACGTATGAAGTAACATAAAAACACTTTGAATGGAGGGAATATCAAATACTTCCTTTTTGGGCCTTAAAAATAAGGGAATGCCAGGGAATTTCTTTCAAAGTCAGAGAAATATTTCTTTATAACAGAAACATATTAACACTCAGAACACGATGCCTCCGGTAAAATGTGTAACGGCAAATTGGCAATGTTTGAAAAATCATTGCTCAGCAATTCATCAATAGATATTAAATTTATTGATACCGAATAAATCTTTAAAGTTTGAAGTTTCAAATGGCAGCAATAGATTTGAAATTTGTCAATAAATGGCTGAGTTATGATTTTACAAACATAGTAAGTTTTCCGTTACACATTTTACCGGAGGCATCGTGTTCGGAGTGTGGCTGACTTCACTAGTTTCAAACAACTTAATTACTCGTTGTAGTTTGAGGATGGTTTTCAATATAAATAGAGTTGCGAAGTTCTGGTTGTTCAATACTTGATGTTGCAGTTTTGCAAGCGGAGCAAAAGTTACTCAAATAAAAGGGTATTTCGATGATTTTGAGCCTATAATAAATTCAGCTCCCACTGAGTGTTGTCACATTCCTGCGTTGAACCGAGATAAAAATTCAGTTCCGTTCCGTTCAGACGTTGTTAATTGTTACAAAATTAAGCTTCACAGGGGAATGTGCTTCTCTTAATAGATGTTATACCTATTTGCGTCTGACAAAATTTAAGCTTCAAGTGGATTCTGCTTCTGCTCGATCCAGCTGTGTCCAACAAAAATCAATCCCTTGAACGCATTGGAGCGCACTTGAGTAAATTCAAGAATGGTTAAGAGTTGAGCTGGGCTTAGACAAGGCAAGTCATTGATCAACACACTTGAATCACACGCTTGAAAAGTTGAGTCTGGTTCAACTTTTTTCAATTCAAGTCACACTACACACTAAGATTTTCTTTTCGTGTTCGTGAATTTTACCGAAATCAAAACAACTGAACGTTCGGTTTTCCTTTTAAAGGCTATTGAATTTGAAAATAGTTTCAAAACATGAAATTATCAAATCTTGTCATTTTAGTGGAGATTTAGTTTCAAAGTAGCTGAAAAGCAATTGAATTGAATTGCATAAATTTTACCGAACAGTTCAGCTGTTCAGATTTCGTTAAAAATTACCGAAGTCGGTGATAATTTCTAAGTGTGTAGTTTACACTTTCAAGTCAGTCGAATTCAACTGAGTTGATCAATTGACTTGCCTTGTCTAAACCCAGTTTTAAGAATGAATACTTTTAGTTCTTGTTCCTTATTGTTTTCTTAACAGCTTGATTAGCTCAGAGAACTAACTGTATGAGAATATAGGATAATGGTCTTGCTTGGGAGTTTTTTTTTATTGCTTGGAGTAGCACTTTTATGATTCAACCTAAAGTTTGGATGTTACTTGAGAAACGAACTCAAAAATTCACATCTGGTTCAAATTTAGTTCCGTGGAACTTTCTTACTGATTAACATGGCACTACACGTACAAACAGAACTTAATGCTCCTTAAAGTACCGCCAATATTTATTGGAAACTTGAAAGTTCAACAGAAGTTTCTTGTTCCCGTTCAATTGAACTGTGAAGTACACAAAAAGTGAATAAAGAACTTGTTTCGAACCTCTAACACAAAATTCAATCTAAGTACTAACCGTACCTTTAAGCAGCGCAAAATTTCACAATGTTGGACTTCTTTAAGACTTTAAAGTACACGTAAAGTTCTAGATAAGACCTTGCAACAACTTAAAAAAATATAAACAAAGTTCGAAGGAAGTTCGACTTGAACCTTGCCTTGAACTTGTAAGCAACTTTAGAAATGTCAATTTAAGAAATGTTGTTTACGTTTGAAGAGTAAAACCAACAATCAATACGAAACTAACGATTTTAAATTGGCTCACTACTTGACATTGGTCCCAAGCAAACGATTAACGTACCCCATTCTAGTCAAAATTCTAGTACTACGCAATGTTTGTTTTGATTCGCTATGAAAGTTTGACAGATAAATGAGGGGTTATTGGTTATTCCGGGACCTTCTAGTCTTAGAGTTACCTCTATGGTAAAACCATAGAGGTAACTCTAAGACCAGAAGGTCCCGAAGAAACGAGCTCAACTTTTTGGCTCAGCTCTGGTACTATCTTCGGTCCCAAGCTAATCGGTTCACCCCTCGAAACATACACCCAACCGGGGGATGTAAGATTCGCTTACAATTATGTGGGATTCATCATCAGAGGATGTTAGTGGAGACCGCATGAACCGAGGATGCGATATACCTAGCTGCAGTCCAATGCTAGAGAATTGGAGACCGAAAAATGTAGAGTGTATTAGCATAGAGGTAACTCTAAGACCACTGGGTCCCGAAGAAAATCATTATTATTTTTGGCTCACTCAGTACCAGAACAACGGTCCCAAGCAGTCCCAAGCTATTTCACTCACCCCTGCATGTTCTGCATGAATCCACACACCCCTGATGTTAGCTGTCAAACTTTCATAGCGAATCAAAACAAACATAGTGTAGTAATAGAATTTCAACTAGAATAGGGTACGTTAATCGTTTGCTTGGGACCAATAGGCTACTAAAGTGGTGAGCCAATTTAAAATCGTTAGTTTCGTATTGATTGTTGGTATTAGTGAGGTAAATTAATTATGTCGAAAAAAAAATAAGAAAAAGGTTGCCAACTGGACTCGAACAACAAACTTTGCGATTATCAGACTTGTGCTTTCTCCACTGCTCTCTTCATGCTTCTGAATAAGGATAGCCTAAAAGCAAACAAGAAGCGCTCATTTCTTCTCACACTCGACTTCGTATGCTTTTTCTGCTGGAGAGATTCGAGGCAAGAGTGTGCGTCGTTCTACCAACAATCAATACGAAACTAACGATTTTAAATTGACTCACCACTTTAGTAGCCTATTGGTCCCAAGCAAACGATTAACGTACCCTATTCTAGTTGAAATTCTATTACTACACTATGTTTGTTTTGATTCGCTATGAAAGTTTGACAGATAACATCAGGGGTGTGTGGATTCATGCAGAACATGCAGGGGTGAGTGAAATAGCTTGGGACTGCTTGGGACCGTTGTTCTGGTACTGAGTGAGCCAAAAATAATAATGATTTTCTTCTGGACCCAGTGGTCTTAGAGTTACCTCTATGG